AAGGATATGAACTACTAAGGATCATACAGGTCACTTCATATTGACAGCACTCCACTAAAAAAAGGACAACTGCAAAAAAAAATTTGTTAGGAAAACAAGATGTCTCAGAATTTATACTGCTTGTTGTCATATATCATAAGAAATACAATCATAACATACAGTTTTGCTATGGAGTCATCGGATGGCAAAAGCCTGGAAATCAGTTCGTAATAGAATTCCCAGTCAAATTAAGAAGGAACGAGACAAGAATGACAGAACAGAAAGCAAATGAAGATGAAGTATGGCAAGATTACGCAGTAAAAATTTCAAGAAATAATGAAAGAAAGAAAAATTGTAGCTCCCATACCGGTATCATAGCCGAAGAGCAGGCCACCGATACCCGCAACAACAGTCAACCCCAACACATAGGAATTGCTAAAATACGTAATCTTGGCATCGCTACCTCTCAGACAACCCGAGCTCCCCGAAAACGACTCTATCGTCATCTCCTACTCTATGAATCGATCAGCAATTGCAAAAGGGAACTACGGAAAATCCCCGCCACCACCGAACAAGAACTCGATAGCTGCAGCTAACTAATTCTGGGATCCGATCTATGGCTTCCGGACCAAATAAATTTCACAGAAAAATCCAACCGCTATTTAAAACATGCAATGGGTTGGGTTGAACAACAGCTCTGCAATGAATTTTTGTGCAAGAAAATTCCAAAAATGGGGGTCTTTTTTTGAGAGGGTTTTCCAAAACAGACGCTCAAAATTCAGCAGATTTCACCAAAGAAATGAACAAGGAAATCGGCTGAAGCAAATAAAAACACGGGACCACAAGAATTTGGGCGTTCAAAACATAAATTGAAAAGAGACTTTAATGGACATGCGGGGAAGGAGGAGGGTGAGGAAATGAACTGAAATGGGCATGTGTTTATTGCTCTTTTATTTATAGGCTCACGTTTTGGATTAGACAGCCTTTTCTGGACGTACACTAAGGCTATGTTTGGTAAAACTAGCTGATAAGCTAGCTGGTAGCTAATAAGCTAACTTATAGTTTATCAGTAATTTTCGAGCTTATAGCTTATAGCTTATGACTTATAGGTGAAAAGCTAGCTTATATGATAAAAGTGTTTGGTAAAATTAGCTGATAAGCTAGCTGAAATAAAAAAATCAACTAGCTTATTTGAAAAGCTACCTAAAGAAGCTTATCAAATAAGCACGAGCTTTTTAAATAAGTTCGTCCTACCAAACAAAGCTTATTTAAATGCAGGGAGCTTATAAGCTAATCAAATAAGCTATAAGCTAGCTTATTGGTCTACCAAACATAGCCTAAGGCTATGTTTAGTAAAACTAGCTGATAAGCTAGTAAAACTAGCTGATAAGCTAGCTGATAGCTGATAAGCTAGCTTATAGCTTATATGTAATTTTTGAGCTTATAGCTTATGACTTATAGCTGAAAAGCTAGCTTATATGATAAAAGTGTTTGGTAAATTAACTGATAAGCTAGCTGAAATATAAAAATTCAACTAACTTATTTGAAAAGCTACCTAAAGTAGCTTATGGGATAAGCTCGAGCTTTTTAAAAAAGCTCGTCCTACCAAACGAGACTTATTTTAATATAGGGAGCTTATAAGCTAACCAAATAAGCTATAAGCTAGTTTCTTTGGCTTACCAAACATAGCCTAAATGATGATGAACTTTTAAAATGGATGGAAGTTTCTGGATTTGACGTTGGGAAGGAGAGGCGTATAGAAACGTTTATGCTAGCTAGCCAACTAATAAGAATGATTTTATAAAAAACTTATATATAGGGATTAAAATGAACTATATTTGACATATGATTAACAAACATCAAAATAGTAAGCAAAAGTACTTACCCAATAAAATAGAATTAACTATAAAGACAAGTAAAGTAGAAATCTTTTTTTTTTTTTT